TCTTGAGTCCAAGAGTTTGAGGTTGCTGTGAGCTAGGACACCATGACAGTCTACCCAGGGCAACAAAATGAGGCTCTGTCGCTAAACAAGAAAAAAAAAAAAAAACCAGTGCACATCCCATAAAATAACACTTTAAGAGCTAAACTACTGGCTCGGCGCCTGCAGTTCAAGTGGCTAAGGGGCCAGCCACATACACCTAAGGTGGCAGGTTCGAATCCAGCCCGGACCCACCAAACAACAATGATGGCTGCAACCAAAAAATAGCCGGACGTTGTGGCGGGCACCTGTGGTCCCAGCTACTTGGGAGGCTGAGGCAGGAGACTTGCTTGAGCCCAGGAGTTGGAGGTTGCTGTGAGCTGTGAAGCCACAGCACTCTACCCAGGGGGATAGCTTGAGGTTCTGTCTCAAAAAAAAAAAAAAAAAAGAGCTAAACTACTGTTTTATCTTTCACATCTCAATGAAGAAGAGTAACTATGACCTTCAAGAAATTATCTTTGCCCCAAGGTAACTTTATAGAAAATAAGCCCTAACAGTAATAGAGAACTAAAAATTCTGCTTTAAGAAAAAAAAAGTTTTCATTAAAAATAGAACTTTTCCAGGGCAAGGACCCATCATGCTCTTCGGAGATCACAGAATGCTTTTCCTTGGTCAGAAACCATTACAGGACTATGACCTCCAGCACATGTATGATGGGCACAAAGGCTTTCAGATCCACTCAATGGTGCTGGCAATTCCCCCCATTAGGTGACAGTAGAGAAAATGAAATAACTTGAGAATCCTAGAGTGGCAGCCATGGGAAACCTTGCTACCATGTTCAAAGACTTCTCAAGTCATTCCCTTTCTATCAGCCCCAGTTGATGACTGGGCGACAACAGAAAATAGTTTAGATTTTTCTGAAGATGGGTGTGTACACACGTGTGACTCAGACAGTGGAGTGAAACTCTCAATGACCAGCCATTTTACAGTAGGACCCAGAAAACAGCAACCTCTTCCAACATGGGGGTCCTTCATATTTTTACCCCACATCTACAAATTCATATTCTGAGACAAACAGGACTAATGACAACAACAAGCCTCCAGAATAGCACTCAGAGAACCATTAGGAGTTAGAGCAAAATTCACATTTTAATGTGGAAAGGAAGGGCCTCTAACGCTGCTTCTCTAACGCAGCTTTCCTCAGTGGCATTCATTACCACAGGCAGGCCACTGATGCAGGTGTCATATCAGGACACAACACCAGCTTCCATTTGGGGGCTACTGCTAACAACTGCCACCCTCTCTCTCTGCCCATCAAATTCTGAGGCAATTAAAGAAACTACAGAAGTGTCCCCATGAGAACACCAGCATGCTTCATTTGCATGTCCTTTGGCTTCGTGTACTTTATCTCATGAGACCCTCATGAGGGATGAGTAATTTCCAGGACGTGACCCTGCTCGCTGAGATTTCAGGATGAGAGGCAGAAGAGTGGAGTGGTTGAGAGCCCAGGTTCAGGCACCAGCAAATCTGCATTCCAATCCAATCTCTGCCACCTACTAACTATCTGATCTCATGTGAGTTCCTTAAGCTCCCCCTAAACCTGTTTGTTCACCTGTAAAATGGGGGAATACATAGTCTTACTTCACAGAGTGATGGTGATGATTAAGTGAGATGATGGACATAAAGCACTCAATTCCTTTACTCAAAAAAATATTAGTACCAGGCACAATGCACGAGTTACAACACAGTCCTGCTCTCATAGAGTTAGAATTTATTCAAACTATAGATAGAAAAACATAAACAGATAAATAAAACACAAAGTGTTTTAAGAACTATTAAGGTAGTGAGTGAGTGACTTGAGAGAATAACAGCAGGGCCAATTTTTAACAGTGGTCTCTGAAACGTTTCAGCTGGGCCCTAAGGGGTCTGAAGGAGCCATTCATGTGAAGAATGGAAGGAAAAGCATTTCAGGCATAAGGAACAGGATGTGTGAGGGTCACAGCAGGGGGAAGCATAGGAACCTAGAGAAGACAAACGTGACTGCAGTGGTTCCTTGCCCAGGATTCAGAGAACAAACTTTATAGGCTGCCACTCACGAAGATTACCACTTCCATTTCAAAAATAACAAAGATGAGGTTCCAGAGAAGTGGTATGTCTTGCCCAAGGTCACAGCTACTCAGAGGAGGAGCTAGGCCTGGGCTGCCTCACTATTCCACCTCCGGAAACAGTGTAAGCCTGCTCTCTCCGAGGAGACCTCACGTACACTCAACTCCCCTCCTTACTTCACTGACAGCTGTTTTCTGTGCCGACAGAGAGTTCTAAAAGTACCCTGACAACAGCATCATGTCAACTTCCAGGCATCTTAGTCAACGGCGCACAGAAATCCTCACACTTCTAATCTTACAACAGGAGAGCAAAAGCTGCTCAGGCCTCACTCAAACACCCCAAAGTAGAAACAAGTTTTTCTTCTTGCAGCAATGAACAAGAGAGGAAGGGGATGTCCTGGAAGATCCTGTGGCCTGTTCTAGGAGGCAACGAGGTGACGACAGTATCTCTGCTGCTTATGAATGTTCATCTCAAATGAACTGCATGGGAAAAGCTAATTACTTTATTTGAAGAAAAGGACTCCCCAGAGCAACGGTTCTCAATCCGGGTGGCAACACCCCTCTCAGAGGGCATTTGGGAATTCATGAGGTCATTCTGGGATGACACCCTGAACTGCAGCATTTAACATGTAGTAGGTGGAGTAGATTATGTTCAACATCTTGCAAGAGGACAGGATGGTTCTATACAGTAAAGAATTTATTACACCAGATATTAATACAGCCTATACACGTATGTTAGACACCCTTCTCTAAAGGATGGATATGCTTCAACTTTTCCTGTATCTGCCTGGTTCAGTAGCTCTCTCCCTCCCCTCACACAAAGTGGATGAAAGAAATTAAGGTTTCACAGCTGAGGAGTGAAATTTTAGAATCCAACTATAAGTTCAAAACTCTAGCATGCAACCTGGTAGTGGAAAAAGGATAAAGAAATTTTCAGTAGGAGACAGACCTAAGAAATTTTTGCAAAGAGAGAACCCCCTTTCCTTATTGCCACATAAGCCTTTATAAGATTACATGTTCTTCAACACACAACATTTTAACTGTGATTTTAGAGAAACTTTTTACTGTTTTTCATTTTAAAACCAGATACGGGCTCGGCGCCTATAGCTCAACCGGCTAAGGCGCCAGCCACGTACACCT